CTCCTGGGCAGAGTAATTTCTTCAGGAAATGTATGTTAAATCATCATAAATGAACAGGCAAATATCGGTCAAATGTTATTCCTCCTAGCAGTCCCCAGTGCTAAAGTGATGGGTCTCTCTGGCTTTTCATAAGGGAAAAAAGAACTTCCTCATCTGTTCCCCTGTGAGGATGATGGCAGAATTAGTTTAATTCACATTAAATGGAGTCAGAGCAGACACAAACACACCACAATTAAAATATATTCTTAGAACTTATTCATTTAGAATTCAACAGACTTTTAATAAGGATTGTCTGAGTCGAGGCTTGTTGTGGATAGGGTGAAGATATTACAGCTATCTAAGATCTTATTTCTGTCATTAGGAAACTCTGTTGGGAAACCTACAGCTAAGCTAGTCATGGTGGGAATGGGTGGCTAAACCACCTCATCTGTAAGTAGCCGGAGGGCTCCCGGCAGCCACACTGGCATGGACTGCCTCTCCTCCCGACGGAGCAGCCCAGGAGCTTGCAGGTCAGCAGTGAGGGCGCTGGCCAGGGCAGGACCACTGAACCGGAGGAGGGTGAGCTTGATGCTTCCCAGCTGAGGACCTTAGCCAAGGTGCTGATCATAAGATAATGCTGAAGTTGGTTGTACTACTTGCTTTCCAGGGCCTTTCTTTAGGCTGCCTTTACACAAACAGCAGCAGATCACTGGGAAGGTTGATCCTGCTGCCTTCCCAGCCTCAGGAATTTTTTATTCATTCATCCACTCACACAACTACCGTTTATTACAATATCCGTGGCACTGTGGAATGCAAAGATCGATAACCTTTCTGATTTGGAAAGGCCTTTGCTCTGTCATTCAACCAATAAAGCAGCTCTAAGTGATCATCACTCTGTACTGAAGGAGTGCATTCCTCACAGGACATGAGCCATGTAGACGAGGAGATACGCTTAGCGGCTCAGGCAATTATCCTCCTATATAACAAAAGCCTAATATGCAAATTGTCCCCTTGACCAGTTGAACTAGGGGGCGGGGCCAGTTGGCCAACCACCCATAGCTCCGGCCAGCCGGACCACACCTGTGCACGAATTCATGCACCTGGCCTTTAGGCGAGAAATAAGGGACTATGCAATTATATGTATTTTAAGTTACATGCTAATAGAATTGATGCCCTAGAAGAATGTTCGGAGAAGATAGAAATGAGAAAGTTGTGGTTTTTTTTTTTTTTTTCAGAATAACTTTTATTATATAACAAGGAACAAAGTAAATTTGATTCTTTTAACTCAGGATTTTATCTGGGATTCCTGAGTAGAGAGATGAATTGTGAAATATTTTCAAGCCATGTACCAGTTTGTAGTCAGATTAATTTAAATCAATAGCTATATAATTACTTTTTATTATTACCCTTTGGGTATTTTTTCATCTACTTATAAATTTAGGATTGTGCCTCAGTATATACCAATTTCTCAGCTATCTAGATTCTTCTTAATGGTTCTTTCTTACCTGGACTACTCTAGTGATATATCTTGAGTAAATTATAGTATTTTTTCCAAGAAAAATAGAAATAAACCTTCCTCTCAGCAAAACATTCTAAATATCAGAAATACCAGTGGCCCTGGCCTATGTGGCTCAGGTATTTGGAGTGTTGTCCTGTACCCCAAAAGGTTGCAGGTTCAACTCCCAGTCAGGGCATGTACACGAGGTAACCAATTGATGTTTCTCACATCAGTGTTTCTCTCTCTCACCCCCTCTACCTTCCTCTCTAAACATCTCCTCCGGTGAGGATTTTTAAAAAAGAAAAGAAAAAGAAAATCCCTGATCAGTGTGGCTCAGTTGGCTCAGTTGGTTGGGTATTGTCCCATGTACCAAAAGGTTGCTGGTTAAGTTCCTGTGCAGGGCATGTGCCTGGGTTGCAGGCTTAATTCCCAGGAGGGAGTATGCCCGAGGCAGCTGATCAGTGTTTCTCTCTCATCAATGTTTCTCTTCCTCCCCTCCTCCTTCCTCTCGCTCCAAAAATCAATAAAAATATATTTTAAAAAGATTCACAATGGGTTTATTAAAAAGGATGAAAATACAGCAATGGATTCATCCAGAAGTATGAACACTTAGTGCACAATATGGCTTTTGTAAGTGGTCAGAATGTGAACCGTTTATAAAGCCATGTGCCATAGTGAACTTAACCACAGTTCTGGTGCTGTGCTCTAGAGAACAGCTGATGTTCCCCTTTCACTTCCTGGACCGACTGGGAAAACACGATGTGACCTGCACCGTCTCCGGGGGCGGGAGGTCGGCGCAGGCTGGAGCCATACGCTTGGCAATGGCCAGAGCTTTGTGCAGTTTCGTCACCGAGGAAGAGGTCGAGTGGATGAGACAAGGTATGCATTGCTGGGGGAGGGACGTGTTTCTTTTATTCTTGTGCTACTTACCTGAACTCAGTGAGAAAACGGTTCACTGTGCAGTATTGCAATTCGTTGCCTTCTCTTATCCTGCCCCAGAACTATAGCATTGTTACTCAGTTTTGATTTCTACAAAATGAACTTGAGTTGGGAAAAGAAAAGGGAGGCATTGCCAGCATCAGAAGGAAATTATTTGGATCTCAAGGCATAACCAGTTTATCCAGTGCTGCTCAATTGTATTTAGCAGATGGATTGGTTGTTTTTGTTTTATCATGGAAAGTTCTAATAATTATTTCATTTAATGGTGAAGCCCTTAAGGTATGTATTTCTTTCCAAAATTATTGTAGATTTCCATTTTTCTATGGTGATGTTAAGTTCGAATTTCATCTTGTCTCGCTCCGTGTAACCCATGACATAGGCGTGGATACAAGTGTGAGAATGAATATGCACTAGACTTGTTCGTGAGGGCCCTGCTTTGACATTTACAATAAATCAGGTGGCTCTGGCGGAGGATTTTCCTTACGCTGTTTGTGACGGTGCTGCGGGTGCTGCGGCTCCTCACTCACCACCTCCCCCAGCCCCTGGCTCCGGAGCAGTGCTGCAGACAAGCGCCACCTACAGCTGAGCCTCGTTAAATGTGTCAGCCTCTTCACAATCCATTCGTTCATAAACAGTTCACCATTTTGTGAAGTTCATATCCGGTCATTAAAATCATTTTATAGGATCTTAACAATTCTTCTAGTTTGAGTTACTGTGCATATTGAAAAGTAATAAAGCATTATCACTTATAATTGTCTGCATTTTGTTCAAAATATTTTTAATTCCCTGCCATTTAAATACAAGTAAATTGCAATAGCTATGGGTACATGATAAGCACTTGAAGTTTTCCTTTGCTGGACGGTCATTACAAGACCCCTCATGAAATAATTAAGCACGTACTAGTGTTGGAAGAGTTTAAAAAAAGACAAACAGTGAAACACTGTGGTCTGTTAATATATTTATAAACGCTTTCTTATTGCCGTAAGTTTTGAAATCTGTGGTCTTTGCTGATATACTGACTGCATCCACATCAGGTCCTCATTGGCCATGCACTACAAGCAACTCCTTAATTGTGGAGGAAGCATATTGCTCCTGGAGACTGACTAGGAGCGTGGAAGCCTTTAATTTACACAGACTGTTCTTCTGGGATAAACTGCTTATCATGAGAATGCAACCCTAAAACTCACTCTTTAGATTCTGAAACAAAATACCAGGGATATTATGATGACATCAATTAGAATAAGATTTTTTTCCTCAAACATGTTCAGTAAATCATATTTTAAGTATATGTATATTCATGTATACTAGTAATATCTGGTGTCCACATACCTCCTACTTCCCTGCCTCTTGTGTTCATTAAACTCGTTCGCTCACATCTGGAATGATGTGAGCAGGAATTCCACTGCCATGCATAGCAACCTCCCACACAAGAGCAGCTTTCACGTAAGTTAAACAGTTTTGAAAACCTGAAAGGAATCAGTCCTCACTCGATAAGGAAAGCAGACCAAATAATGTAGCTGGTGTTTGGGAAAATATCCTGAAAGAGTGCGTTTCCCATGGTTTGTCACAGCTTCTCTCTCTGTGCTGCAGCTGGACTGCTCACATCTGATCCGCGCGTCCGAGAACGGAAGAAGCCGGGCCAGGAGGGAGCCCGCAGGAAGTTTACCTGGAAGAAGCGCTGAGTGTTGCTGGGAAAGGAGGGGGAGCGTGCACCTGCATGTGGCGAACACACATCAATAAGTGCCGGCCAGTGGGAGTTTATTTTCAAATGCTAACTTTTAAAAATGTTAGCTTCTGCCCTAACTGGTTTGGCTCGGTGGATAGAGCGTCGGCCTGCGGACTAAAAGGTCCCAGGTTTGATTCCGGTCAAGGGCATGTACCTTGGTTGCGGGCACATCCCCAGTAGCAGGTGTGCAGGAGGCAGCTGATCGATGTTTCTCTCTCATCGATGTTTCTAACTCTCTATCCCTCTCCCTTCCTCTCTGTAAAAAAATCAATAAAATATATTTTAAAAAATAAAAATGTTAGCTTCAGTCTGCTGCTTTATTCTTGTAAACTTTTCCAGAGGTAGTTTTAGAAGAAGTATAAATTCATAGAATCTTGGCATATCGACCTGAGGGAACATTGAGCAAATCCCCATGGAGTAACCTCGTTTTGTAGACAAGAAAGCCCAGGCCCATTGAAGGTGAAGTGCATTGCAGTTCCTGGTGGGCCTGGGCTTGAGCTCGCCTCTCCTGACTTGTTGGCCCGCAGGGCAGTGGCCCACAGTTTTCACACTGAGGAGCGAGCTTGTTCAGGAGCAGAGGGAAGCTGAGCGCCCTCGGCAGGAGCTCAGGAGCAGAGAGGGAGCTGCCCAGAAGCTGTTGAAGGCAACCAGCCAGTTGCCCCACCCCTCAGCCCTGGCAGGACCATCCTCCTCTGCGTCTGACTTTTTCTTTTTTTTTTTAATACAGTCTACATATAATTGATACCGTGCAGGTTTTGTCTTTCTCTGTCTGGCTTATTTCACTTTGCACAATGCCCTCCAAGTTGGGTACAAACTTTCAGTTATAAGGCAAGTTAATTCTGAGGATCTCATATACAGAATGGTCACTGTAGTTAATACTACGTGGTATTGAAATTTGTTAAGAGGGTAGATCTTTAAGCCTTCTCACACACAAAAAAGGATAACTATGAAATGATGGGTGTGTTGATTAATTCAAGGGGTGGGGCTCCTTTCACAATTTATACATATGTCAAATTGTCACACTGCACTTTAAATATGTTACCATTTTATTGGTTAACTATCCTTCCGTAAGGCTGGGAAACAGTGAGCCTGCCCGAGGCGGGAGCACTGGGAACAGCAAGGGGGCCGCGGGACTGCAGGAGCAGGCAGTGGTGAGGTAGGAGCTGCTGTGAGCAGCGTGAGGAGATGACAGCAGTGCCCGTTGGCCGCAGCCGGCACCTGCCCCTCAGTGTGGCTACTCCCCACAGTGTCCTGGTGTGGACGTCAGGTACATGGTCACTTGTAGCTTTAGGAGATGTCTGAAACATTGAAATACTTTCCAGTGTTCTGTATGTGGGGTTTTTTGCTGGCTTCTGTCGATTCATTGCTTTTACATATGCCCAGAACCACTGGCTTAAGGAGGGTTTTTTTGTTGTGTGTGTGTGTGTGTGTGTGTGTGTGTGTGTGTGTTTTGTTTTGTTTTTAAGGAAAATAAGCCTGGTTTTAAGTGCAACAGTGACTCCAGCAGGAAAAGCAGAGCAGGTGTGGGTAGGACACTGTGATGAGAGGGCCTGCACCCGTCAGGAATGGCGAGCAAGGGCCTTGGTAATGGCCTTTATCTTAAGCTGGCATGTGGGCGTGCACTTCGTTATACCCTCCCCGTGGGGTATATACGGTCTTTATTATGTGCTGTTGTAGGATACACAAAAATAAAAGGCCATCCCGCGGACCACACGGAGGTTCAGAGCAGTCTCTGGAGGCCATGGGCAGGCTGACCTCCCTGCACCTTGACTGCTCACATGAAGTGGGGAGAATGGCAGCCCCTCTCCAAGGCTGACAAGCATCCCGCAAATCCAGGTGAGCAGCACAGCCCACAGGAAGTGCTCTGTAAAGGTTGGTGTGGGTTCTCATAAAAATTTCCCTCCTTGTCCCTGTCATTTGGTTAAACAGAAGTGGACAGCAGTCTAGAGTTTGGCGAGGGAAGGAGTACGATGGTGAACAGGCGGTTCCCTTGAAAGTGAATGGCAGTCGGTCCCTGTGTTCTCTTCAGGTAGCACTGACTTCATTGACTGGACAGCAGGGAAACAAAGCATGATGGGAATGTGGTCAAACTGTAATGTCATGGACCCAGTGTCTTCACATCTATTAGAATCCGTAGGTGGGCTTGATGCAGGGAGCCCCCAGACCTGTGCCCAGCCTCTCACAGCCAGCAGACCAGAGGCAGCGGCCAGCAGGGACTAAAAGACACGACAAGGAGGGGTCAGTGAGCTGTCCCTCACAGGTACTGGCATCAGGTGCCGCCCGCAGAAAGGCCGTGGCACATTCCACAGAATTTGCAGGCCAGAGACCAGAAGTAAGTCATCAGTAAATGGTCTCTCAGCATTGCCACCTTCTTTGGTGAATGACTGGGCTACAGAACTTTCTCTTATTCTGAGCCTTTGGTTAAAACACAAACTCATGGCTAAAATTGAAAGTAGTATTTGAACACCATGCTATAAAAACTACTGTACTTCAACACTGAGCAAAATCTTATCGAAGCATTTTCAGAACCGACAGCCCTTGGCACACAGCTGTTCCCAGTGTTGACCCCAAAAGTCGAAACTGCTTCAAGGAGACAGTGAGCGCTGACCACAGGCAGTGTTTGGAGAGGCACGTGACGTGGATATTCGCAGCCAGTTCATTCTTTTCAACAGCCCCTCCGGCCTATCAGGCCCTTTTCCTCCTGAGAAGGCCATGCCCATTGACTCCCCTGGGTCTGCGTGCAAGCGGATTTTCTCCCTGCAGCGTGGTGGCCTGGTCGGAGTTCGTTCTCGCTCCTAGGGCTGCTCCTCGATTTGCTTCCCTTCACCTTGACTTGCCTGCCAGACGGACGAAGGTTAGGTACCTGTAGCTGTAGCCCGACACAGCCTGGGAGGCTTTCTCTGTCGACATCTTTGCAAAAAAATGCCCACGCTGCTAGAGGCCATATGCAGTCATCAGCACTAGTCTTCTTTCAAAATGTTTTCAAAAATTTGAAATACAGGAAAATTCTAATCCACGGTGGAGTAACAGAATTGGCTGAAAGCAAAGGGCTCTTGCCCGGGGAGACATTACAGAGGGAGAATCCAAAGACAACAGCAATGCCGAGGGCTCCACAGGCCCCGACGTCCATCCAGGGCCCGGTGCAGTGCACCACCAGGAAGAATTCCCGTGCAGTTTGTCACCATAGGACAGATTCAAAATGTTATGGTCAAGTTACTTAATTTCTGTGTTCTTGCTCCTACCCTAAAAATACTTATTTGAAAAGCATAGGGGATTAATCTTGTTCTTTATACTTTATACCTATATACAGTAGGTCCTCAATGTCCTCAACAGGCTCCACAACTTTCAGCAAAATGACATAACAAACCCCTTGTTACACAGGCTAATTGCTATCAACCAGAGCTAAGTTCCTAGGGCACCTCATCAACATTATAATGAAATGACTGAACTTAACCTTATTTGAGGGCCTTGGTAGAAGCCTGACTGCCTGGGAGGCCTCACTTCCCCTGTATCGAAGCACCAGAATTCTCTCCCTCCTCTCCCCCACCAGCCCACTTCCAGCACTTGGGATCCAAGTGGAAGAATGGGTGGTACCCTGGGCCCAGGGCAGCGCACCACCACTGTCCTCCCCCCGTCTCCACACGCTGCTTCTCCCAGACCCGTGGTTGGCAAACCACAGCTTGTGAGCCACATGTGGTTCTTTGGCCCCTTGAGTGTGGCTCTTCCACAAAATACCACGTGCAGGCACGCACGTACAGTACGATTGAAACTTCGTGGCCCATGCACAGAAGTCAGTATTTTGTGGAAGAGCCAGTATTTTACTGAGCCACAAGCAAGGTACTGTTACTCTGCTCACAGAGCTCGGAACCTAGCAGGCTGTTTAAGCACATCCTAAGGCTTCAGTACTACAATGAGATGAGCAGTAACAGCCATGTACAAGGTGTAATAAGTAAATCTCCTTATTTTCCTGAAGTTAGAAAAAGTAAATTTAAAATTTTAAGCACTGGACAATATACATCACCTTCTACACTTTTAATCTAACCAGCAGAGCGACTCCTGGCCTTGCTATTAACGTGGAGAGACTTCCAGAAGGAGTGCAGGGCCCACCGACATTTGTCCCTTCCGGGTGGACTTCTAACCCACAAAACTAGGGCTGTTGTCAGCCACTAAGCTCGTGGGAATTTGCCACAGCAGCCATAGGTGAATGACAGTGTGTAGAGCCTATGTTATTGTCACTCCACCAGTCAGAGTGAGGCCAGGCTGGTGCGAGAACAGCGTGCCAGCAGGGGTCCCAGGCTGCAGTTCAGATGCATCAGGCAAGGACGTCTGGAAAAGGTCTGTGTACACTGACCTGCCCAAAGAAGCAGGGAGACAGCCTTCTCTGAGGGCTTTTCTGTGGCTAGTGGCCAGTGGAAGAGTTTGTGGGTAATCTTACACCTCCCGATGGCTCCGCTCACATACTTTTCTTTACATATATATTTTTTCTTTGTAGACTACATGAATTTAATACAGGACAACATTTGAAATATAACGTTTTCACAAAAATAAAAAAGTTGCAAATTTATATGTACCAAAACGTGAAACACTATTGGCAATGACGACAGTAGATAGTGCAGTATTTGTGACATGGAGTATCAGAGAAAGCATTTCCTGGCATCCTCCTGCAGCTGACCCATCACACCTTAGCCTGCTGACTTTACAGTGGTCGTACTGTACTTCCCTAAGAGAATGCCCGCGCTTGTTGCCCCGAAATATGAGATGCTGGGGCATTATGTCAACAACTTCCTCTCAAGTGATTTGGGGGAAAGTCTTTTTACTGTTACTACAGGTGGTGGGAAGAGAGGCACCAGGTGCTACACCAGTGGGGCAGACCCACCTGGGTTCCACAACTTCGGTGCTGGGCTCTGGCTGGGAAGGAATTCAGAGCCAAGACCCAACTCTAAGAGAACAGTTATTTGGTAAATCACAGAGGCAGAAAAGGTAATTCCTAGAAGAAATGGGCTGAGGAAACAAGTTACGGTGCCAAAGGAAGGGCCCTTGGAGCTCAGGACCTTGGGAGGCCA